CACCTAGGAGATGCTTTATTAATAATAATAATAATAATAAAATCCAGAAAACACATAGAAAAAATTGAATTTTGTTACTTTTTAAAAATAATTAGCTCTTTAAAAAAACTTTTAGCATTTCATATACAGCTTTTTATATTTTGTGCGCTTGTGTATGTGTATTTATTTATTGTCAAGTTTATAATAATTTTATAAAAGAGTATAGGATCTATCCCATTTAGTTTACAGTTGTAACTGAGATCCAGAGAAAGGAAATTATTTTCCCAAGGTTACACAGTGAATGGCAGTTACAGTGCTAGACCTGTAAAGTAGATGTGGAGTTGGAGGGCCTGGCTTCAAACCTTCCTTTTGCCACTTACTGTGTGAGTTTGAGCAAATCACTTAAACCCACTGAGCCTCAGTTTCCTTTTCTGTCAAATGCAGATGACAATGCATTTGTACTACCAGCACAGCATTTAGAATACTGATCCTCAAATCAGGAAACTTGAATTCAAATTTGGCCTCAGCCAATTACTAACCATGTAACCTTAGACCAGTTGCTTAACTTCTGTCTGCCTCAATTTCCTCATCTGGAAAATGGGGTAATGATAGCATCTACCCCCCAGGTTTGTTGTGAGGATCTAAGGAGATAATATTTGATAAGTGCTTTGCAAACCTTGAAGTACTACAGAAATTATTATGGGTAGCTCTCACCCCCATAGGATCGTGTCATACTATACAAAGCAGCTTGGTGTTTTCCTTGAAACAATCAGAGAAAGAAAGGGGAGTATAAGTTGTGAAACTATAAGCTATAAGGATCAAATAAAATAATTTGCAGTGAAGCATTTTACAAACTCTGAAGTTTATAAAAGAATATACATGTGAACTATAGCTCCCAGATCTCCTGATTCCTAGTCCAGAGCTCCTCCTACTTTTTCAGGTTTATCTATCCACTGAGCTTACATACAAAAATGAATTCATTGATTAACCAAATCCTACATTTTAGCAATGATGCGTCTTTTTTTCTAGGTCTTCTGGCCTAGGTCAAGTTCTCTCTGTCTCCAGATGTATTCATAAGTCTTCTTTTTCAGTCCATCTGTCTTTTATTTCCCTTTTCCTCACCTATTGAAACTACATTCACTTCTTTTCATCTTCCTCCTGAACACTCTTAGGGTACCCTGTTTGTGCCACTTCCATGGCACTTATATTTATTGCCTTATGTTGTATGTCGAGGGTGTGCCCAGCAAGAGGCTGACAATGCCTTCCTGATCCCTCCCATGTCTCCTTTACAATGCTTTGATCCCTTGAGGAGGTTAGTGCTTTGATAAGGTAGGCGCTTATCTGGTTCTGGGTACCCTTCCTTCCCCATTTGACAACCGTATTAAGGGTAATCGGTTTGTCACAGGCCAGGTCATCCACCTGAGCTACCCCCACAGAGTTGGCCTTTAAAAAGCAGGGCAGAGCTCTGGAATCTAGAGCCTGGGGGCCGAGAATAGATACACTCAGAAGGAAGAGGACTGACATGGAGATTTGGACTGGTTTCCTGCAGCAGAGAACTGCACACCCACAAGGCCCAGCTAGTGAACCACGTGGCCCCAGAATTGGCAGCAGACAAAGGCAACTGGGCAATGGGAAGAATTCCTGGGCCCAGCCAGGAGCTGTAGGAATGTGATCCATCTGCAGCAGCAGTGAGAAAAGCCTTCCTAGACCAAGGCAGCCGGAGTTAGAGCCAAAGAATGGCCCAGGACCGAGAGACTGAGGGGGAGTGATCTTCTTCCCTCCCACCTCTCCCACCACCTGCCAAACCTGCTCATCACAGGGACTTCTAGTCCATCAGTTCCTACCATCTCCTCCTGGCTCCAGAACCAAAGTCACGGATTCTACCCCTATAGCCAGACATTTTTAATGATACTCTGTCTTTGAGTTTAAAATCCCTTGCCTTCTTGTCATGCTGCTGTCCTTGCCCTGACAATATCTAACCTTGGCACACTGCACTATGTTGACTAAGGTCCACTATGAGCTTCTCTGATAGAGGACTTATAGGCGAGTGGGTAGAATGCTGGATGGGGAAGCAGGAAGCTTTGTTGTTGTTGAATCATTTTTCAGTCATGTCTTACTACTTCAGGATCTCATTTGGGGTTTTCTTGGCAAAAATACTGGAGTAGCTTGCCATTTCCTTTTCCAACTCATTTTACTGATGAGCAACTGAGGCAAATAGGGCTAAGTGACTTGCCTGGAGTCACATAGATAGTAAGTGTCTGAGGACAGATTTGAAATCTGGAAGATGAGTCTTCCTGATTCCAAGCGAGTCCTGTATTCATTGCCACCTAGCTGCTCTGTGGAAATAGGAAAATCTGGTTCAAATACCACATCTGACACTAAGGAGGTCTGTGACATTGGGCAAGTCACAACCTCTCTAAGCCCCAGTTTCCTCATCTGTAAAAAAAGGGAGTGGGACTTGATGACCCCTGAGTTCTCTTTCCATTCCAAACCTGTAATCCAATGAACCTCTAAGAGGCATACAATAATGGCCAAAAGTGCTTATATTGAATCTCAACCATACTCCCCATAATAACTTTCTAAACCTTCTCTCCTTTCCTTGAGCCTCTGACTCCAGCCTCTTCTCTTTCTTAGCAGAACCTCACCTTTCATTTTCTTGATACAAACCAAGCGTCTTAGGGACACCAAGAAATAAATGCATGACAGTGGTCGTGGCTCTGGTGGCATCCACAGGTAGGACCTGGGGGATTTAGGAACAGCAAGTGTGGTACTTATTGCATAATGACATATGGAGGAAAAAAAGAGAAAGAAAAATCTTGCAATTAGTATTGGAGACTAGAATATCAGGCTTGGTCCCAGTAGCCATGTCTCCATTCTCTAAGACAAAGAATTCTGATGGAGGTGACTGGAACAGACTGATAATGCTAAAGATGGTCACTTCTCTGGATCAAAGAAAAGACAGTAAAGATTTAACTATCTACGTTGGTGCTTATGGATAACATTCCACACAGCTTTCTCTATTTCTCAAGCTGTGCTTTTTCCCTGACTTTGTTCTCTATAAGCTATGCCGGTCACAAGTGAGCCATGACTCATGTCTGTTAATTAACTGTGTTCAGGGAACATCCTCAGTGTATGCCAGCGACTAGTTTGGCATCCATCAATATACAGAACTGAATAGGTCAGAGGCTAATCTTTTCTTTCCCTACTATGAGGTTGAACCAATTGAGATGAGAATTTTATGGCTTTGATTTTATTAGTAAATCTCATAAGCTCCTAACAAGCACAGAGAGATGAACTGCATGGATTGGGATCATGTGCCCCTCAGCTAATGGAGTCATTTATGAGCCAGATTCAAATGGTTTAGAAAATAATTATCTCAGGGAAATTCTAGTCTGAGTAGTAAAGAAAAAATGAGTAGAGGTATGGACCAAGGAAAGGTCACACCTAATGGTCCACCTAATGGGAGGGGGAAGGTGTGGTCTGGGAAGAGTAGCCATTCTCTCTTTAGAGGCTACTTGAAATTTTGCTGGTTTGAGGAGAACACATGGCTCTTCTTTCTGAGATAGAGCTATCTAATCAATTCTACTGGGTGTTTTCACCAGTAACATGCCATGAAATTCCTATTAAGGAACTCCTCCTAAGAGGGAGAATGTTGGAATCACTCTAAGACACCCATAACTGTACTGTAACCATTTTTAAGATGAATTTTTAGGTATGCAAAATAGAAAAGGAAGTATTTGCTAATGCCTCTTTTCCTCTTTTCCCTCCCTAAGGAATTCATGCTTGTAGTAAATAGACTTTCCAGAATACTCTTAATTAAATCAAAAAAATCTAAAAAGAAGAAACTCCAGTTTAAGCAACAGAGACAGTCTCCTTCGTTAGTTCAACTTCCTTTGACATTTAGTATATGTAGGTTGTTTATAAAGTATGGGGGTTGCAGATAATCAGATGATGGGCCCAAAACTGAGGAGAGGAAAAAAAGAGCAGGTCAGATAGCACTGGGAGAATTACACAGTACTTCTAACAGTCTCAAGTTGTTCAATTTCACAAGACCCATCTTTTTAATGCAATTTTTCTCCTGGTGATGCTGCAGGCATAACCTCTGAAGAATCAAAGTGTTGGAGGACTGAAGGAACAGTGGAAAAGTTCATGGTGGGCAAAAGTGAACTGTACCATCTTTCCAATGATGATTTAACTGCAAGAAATGCCATGAAGAATATTGGCACAGAATTGTATGATTAGAAAAGGAGGTGGGCTGGTCATGCAGAAAGAGGGAGGCATAACAATGGAACAGTCCCAGGGTGGCCATGGTAACCACAAAACATTGCTCAGTGCACTGAGCAAATCCTTCTGTTTAGGATGTATGGGGAAACGTGTATAAGAACTGTACTAGAATGGATTGCCATGTTTGCCAATGAAGAGAATTACCGCAGTAAATGATGAATCACAAATCCATTGAAATATATAGGCAATATCTGGATCTAACCTGCTTCTTTCTCCAACCTTCATGCATCATGCATTCCAGTTCAACTTTTCTCCTAATTCTTCCTCAGTTTCTGGGTCTTTTTTCTGTCTCTGCTCTTTCCCCAGAATGGAGGTTGTACTCCATGCTGGTAAAGGATCTATTCTACCAAAGAATTTACATTCCGTTAGAGGGAACATAGAGAAGATTTAAAATATACATGAAGCAAATATAAATTAATTTGAGTGGGGAGAGAAACAAAGATTGGGGTTGAGTGGGCACAGGAAGGGAGCAATCAATAAAGTTATCCTTTTTTTAATTGAGCCTTGAAAGGATCTAGAGATTCCTAAAGACAGAGGGGAGGAGGGAGGACATTCTAGACTTCAGAGCTGGGAGATAAAATGCTATATATGGGTGGGGAGGGGTGGTAAGAGGGAGAGGAATCTTCTGTTGAGATCATTCTCTTTCTCAAGGGTCCTACTCAGTTGCTTCCCCCTCTATGAATCTGTTCTGATTTCCCTCCAGCTAAAATTTTTTGTAGTTTTCTTTTAGATTGTCCCTCTGCTCTTAGCACATCCTGCCTCGAAGTACACTTGTACATGTGTTGTCCTTCCAATTGGATCACAAGCTTTCTGAGAGTAAGGACTGTATCATCTTTTTTCATCTTCATAATTACGTCACCTGGTACAATAACAGACTTTAAGCTTTGATAGCTTTAACATGCACTGAGACTTTGGGGACATCTTGCGTAGTAGACAGTTAAGAAGTGTTTATTGAATTGAAATGAACTGAATAACCTATGGAGTTGAAGAACGGATCATTGTACTCCTATAAAGTTGCGAGCGTAATGAGATTACCTCATGATTCCTACGCATTAATCTCTTCCTTAGGCAGTGTTGGTGTTTACTATTTTAACAACATTCAGGCAGCACTATATTGCTGACTCATCTTAATAAGCAGATAATTTGGCATCAAATAAAACTATTAAAGGCAAGACTAACAAAGTCATGCTTTGATTTCAGTGTTGAAAATTGCATTATCTATAAACCTTTCAGGAATGAACTAATCTCTAAAGTGTAATTCAGAGGAGAGCTAATTAGTCTAGTCGGTTTTTCTTCCAATAGGCAGCTTCAATTAGTCCATGTTCAAATCCTATGAGCTTTTGTAAATGTACCCATTTTCAGTAGAAGACATTTTATCAGTTTGGATTTTGGTCTACATTTAGAGATGAAAGGAAACAGGATTCCATTCCTTAAATAGGTAGCATCCATGCCTTACCCATAAAGCTGGGGATGAATGGAGAGAAGGAGAGGGGAATAGAATAGAGAAAGCTGAGTGTGAAGAATTTACAAAGACACTGAGTTTGAACACGAGGGAATAGGTTAAACAGTAACCTGCTTGTAGCACTCTGTCAATTCTCTCTCTACAGCTGCTTGGGGGTGGGGGTGGGGGAGTATAAAACTCCCCAGAATGAAAGAGATAGAAAACAAATTAAATGCCAGCTTCAGGTAGACAGATGGGAAAGGAGACTGAAGATCTGGAAGCAGAAATGAGGCCATCTGGAAGCATTCTGCTTACATAGCCCCTACGCTGTCTTTGAGAAAGACAGGCAGATCCCTCTGAGAAACACCGCAGGTCTTATTCATTCATTAAGAGCTTATTAAGTGCCTACTATGGCCAATTCACTGTGTTAGATTACGGGGATACCAAAAAAATAGACAAAAAAGGAGGGGGGGGGAAGCCTGCCTTCAGGGTGTTTATATTCTGCTAAAGGAGAGGGCATTCTAGACACAATCTGCACAAAGGCAGATACTGGGATCTGAAATATCAGTGTTGGAGGAGGGTTGGGGAGAGAAGGTGAGATGAACACCAAGAGGCCAGTTTAAAGGGAATGCTGAGGGAATTTTATTTTATACTAGAAGCAACAGGGAGCCACTGAGTATTTTTGAATAGAATGTTGACACAATCCAACCTGTGCCCTAGAAAGATTATTTTGGCAGCTGTGTTGAAGACGGATTATAAAAGGGAGAGGCTAGAAGAAGGCGGACCAACCAGGAAGACTTGGCAATAATCCAGGTTAGAGGTGAGAGTGTCCTTAAAGGCTGGGAGGGAGGTCTTGTGAGTAGAGAGATAGGGTTGAAAGTTAGAGATGTGGAAGCTAGAGATTGTGAAAGGAGAATTGACAATACTTGGCAACTGATTGGGATATGTGGGATGAGGGATGGGGAAGAGCCAGTGTTGTGAAATTGGGTGAGTGGAAGCACACTGGTGCCCTCAAAAGAAATAGGGTGTTAGGGAGGAGCATTGATCATATGGAAGCCAATAAGACCCCTGGGAGAAAGAGTGTTCCTCTTTCCTGGTCCTGGTCCCAATCAGGAGACTGAAAAGAAATGGTCAGACAAAAAGAATTAGAAGAAAAGTACTGTCATGAAAACCAAGGGAGGAGAGAGTAATTAGAAGAAAGGCATGATCCAAGTGGTTCAAATACTTCAGAGAAGTCAAAGGACTAAGAAAAGGCTACCAGATTTAGTCATGAAGGGATTAGAGTGAAGCTGGAATAGGGCAGGGATTTAGAAGCAATGGGTATTCAACTTCCAGGGTTTTGTCTTGCCTGCCATTGTGGGGTGGGAATGTAAGAAATGGGTTATGTTACTAGCTGTGTGACCTTGGGCAAGTCACTTAACCTCATTGCCCACAAAAAAAAAGCAAATAAAAAAAAAAGAAGTGGGTTATGTAGTAGGAGTATTGTTTGTCCTTAGTTCTCAAAGACAACCGTGATGTTAGGCAGGAAATGTTCTTACTTACAAGTGAATTGGATTTAAGTGAGGAAGGGCTGTGCAAGATATTTAGCCTCATTTTCTCCTCTGGAGCCATCGGGGTCCAGTGGCAAGATATAGATCAGGATGACTAGAGATGGCCTTCAATAGTAAGAATGTGCAAGCTTGATGTATTCATATGAACCTATTTCTATTTATTTCTATAATTCTCCTCAAAGTTTTGTATATATCTACAGTGTCTGATCGACTCTAGAGACAGAAGGTATGGAACAAAGCAGAAGAGACAATTAGATGGAGAACCCTGACCTGTGAGACTTAATTTGATGATGAAGACGTATTTGTTTTGCTGTTGTCCAGACGTGTGTGGCCCGCATTTGGAGTTTTCTCGGCAAAGATAGTAGAGCGGTTTGCCATTTCCTTCTCCAGCTCCTTTTATGGATGAGAAAATTGAGGCAAACAGGGTTAAGTGACATGCCCAAAGTCATATAGCTAGTAAGTATCTGAGGCCATATCTGTACTCAGATCTTCTTGATTTTAGGTCTGGCACTGTACCTACTGTGCCACCTGGGTGCCCTAGATGAGGATGTAACTAGACTGAACTAAGACCGTCACTACCACCTATACAGGAGAAGACACATAGGGGAATCCACAAGAGATAAATGAGATCCAGCTATTCTGAAAGCCTGAGAAGAATAGAAAGCTTGGTGAATACCATAGTATGCCTTCTATGGAAAGATGAAACAAAGCAAATGGGGAGTGGGGGCGGTACAGAGACCTCTGTTATGGGATTTAGAAGTTGAAGGAAAACCTCAAGAATATCAATAAATAGCCATTTTAATATATTTAAGAAGGCTTATATATCAATTTCATTTCAACATAGGAAGAAATCATACACTTCTTTAAAATGAACCTAAAGTTTTCTCTCAACAATAGCTCAACTTTTTGATACTAAAATAACTACTAGGTGGAACTAGCCAAAAATGAAAAAGTTTACAGAGAGATCTATTTATCATTGTGTCAGGTACTGTTAAACTCTTGGAGTTCAAATAGAAACAAACAAGATATCTCTTGTCTTCAAGGAGCTGAAATTCTAATAGAAGAAGACAACACACAAAGGGGGAGGGGAGCAACAGGCTTGAAATGGAGTGGTTTGGAAATGGTGGCCAAAAAGTGAAGTGGAGGCTTTAATTCTGGGAATGACAAAAGCTCACCTATCTGAGCCTCTCATTCCAGGAATGAGGTAAAAGATTCCCGAAGTGGGAGGAGGGGGACATTGCCAGGAGGAGGGGGGAGACAGGGATGATGACCAGAGTGCAGGCAATGCGGTTTGGGAATATATTTCTATTGTATGGCTATGAGTCAACGTGTACTATAGTCTCTGAATAATTGGAGGTTGAGGTTTACCTGAAGGGCAATAGAGAGGCTCATGGTGAGTACAAGTAGGCATCAATCCATTATAAATGTGAAGTCATACCCAAGAAGTAGTATAAATGAAAGATTGTTATCAGAGAAATAACTGGGGAAGAGGGGGAATAGGATGGGCCAGTCACATGGTAAGATTAAGGGATAATAATTGGCCAATGTAAGCATCCCTGCTGTTATCCACACAATGTCAGGAGAACAAGAGGCAGGCTTCCATTATTCTAGGCAGAACCACAGTAATAGATTTATTGGAGGACATAGAAGACAGATTTGGAAAGGTTGCAATCTGGAATGAGGTATCAGCTCCATTAACACATTGGCTTTTTGTCCCCAGTGACTCAGGGTTTCCTTTTGCAGAGTTGTAAAAGAAGGAAGTAGCCCTTTTATACATTAGCGTAGACCTTTATCTGGCCTGGAGTGAGTAGGGTTTAATCCTAGAGTGCTGGCAAGGAGAGAAGGTAGGATGCAGGAGACAATTCCTAATTATGACTGTCTCAGGAAGATTCTGTTCCTTCAGCTTGCTCTACAACCAAGAAAAGCCCTCTGGAGTCTAGTCTGATAGGGGTCTCTTCTGATCAGATTGGCTACTTCACAAAATAGCAAAGACCATCTCTGTAAGATTCATTCAAAACACACACACACACACACACACACACACACACACACACACACACACACACACACACTTGGGCCAAGTAAATCATTAGCTGCTACCTACAACAGCAAAGATTTCTTGAGGACGGGGATCAAGAGAGATGGGCTTTTCAACAAGGAATATGACTTAGCTTAATCGAATTATTGTAGCTGACATTAGAAATATAAATTTGACTATTAATAAATTTCCTAACTGTTCTTCTGCAGCTTTGGATGTTAACATCATTTCAGCCTTTAGTTATGACATTTACATAGGAAAATATTGGCATGTTTCACAACTCATAAATCAATCAGTGAATGTTTATTAAGTGCCTACTGTAAGTCAGGCCCAGAACACAGAGGTGATTGATTTAAATTTTTCTCTTCTCATTTGGATGGGTTGCTACTGTCCTGAGAGAAAACAAGAGAATTCCTGATTTTGAGGGTGAGAAATGGGGAGGGGGGGGTTTGAAGGGAGGGTGTATTTTAAATAAACATTTATTTATATTCCTGTCATTCTCAACAATCCCAATAAAATGGCTAGCAGGTTTAAAGAAAACTTCACATTCTCCATAATTATTCATTGATGTCTTTCATTAACCATGATAGTATAAATGGGCATCTTCCTAGTTAGACTGCTAAGTGTTATATTAACAAGTACTGTTGAGGTGTACGAAATTACCTTTCCCACTCCATTGTAAGTGGGATGTATCCCGCACTCCCATCCGTGCAGATAAGGTGCACAAAATTATCTTTCCAACTACAGCTGTGTCACCTGAATGCAATTAACACCTTACTAAATGTGAGGCTGTTTCTGCAGGTTATAAATTAGTCATGGCCCAGCTCCCCAAGCGACTCTCCCTTCTTCCATATAGTATTTGACGTGCTGCCTCTTTGTGCGCTGTGGAAAATGCCGAAAACAGTTCAATAAATTGTTTAAAGCAATGCAATTAAGTGGAATAATATTATTTGTCTGCGTTTTTCCCATTGTAGAGGTTCTCCAGGGTTGGAGAGCAATCAATTAAAAATGCCTTTTTGTGTATTTGCGAATTCAAGCTTCCTTGTGGTCTCATATAAAGCTCCAAGCCCGTAGACCCATTATTTGGTTACAGACATCTGCTCAGGTTCTGTTTTTTTTTTCCCTACTAAATTGTCATTGTGAGTCAGCTAGGTGGTACAGTGGACTGAGTGCTAGAATTGGAGTCAGGAAGACCCGAATTCAAATCCAGTCTGAGACACTAACTAGATGGGTGACCCTGGGTAGTCCCTTATCTCTGCTTCAGTTCCCTCACTTGTAAAATGGAGATAACAACACACCTATCTCCCAGGGTTGTTGTGAAGTTAAAATAATATTTTTAAAGTATTTTGCAAACCTTAAAGTGATATAGAAATCCTAGCTATTGTTCTATTATTAAACCATGCATTTTCAGACTCACTTCCCCTGCCCCCAATAATAATGATATCTACACAATGCTTTAAAGTCTGCAAATTGCTTTAAATCCATGGTCTCATTCACCTTTACAACAACACTGTTAAGTAGGTAGTACAGGTCCTATACCCATTTTGCAGATGAGAAAACTGAAACTCAGAGACTGAGTGATTTGTCCATGGTCATTCAACTCGTGTCAGCAATATGATTAGAACCCAAACGCAGCACTCTATTTACTACACTAGTTCCTAATCTTTTTTTGTGTGTTCTGGATCTTTTTGGCAGCCTGGTGAAGTCTATATAACCTTTTCTCAGAATAACATTTAAAAATAATTGAAGGAAATTCCAAATTTTGGTTAAAAGTTGGGGACTATAAATATATATATGTACACAAATGTATATTTCTATATGTATATGGAAACATATGTATACATACATATATTTCCAATCCAAGTTCATGAATCCCCTTAAATCTATCTTCAGCCCCTTTAGGGAGCCATGGACCTCTGGGAAAAAACCTTTACATTTATACCATCCTGCCTCATTTTATCCAAAGCCCTCATTTTACAGAAATGAAACTCAGGACCACAAAAGTCAACTGACCTAACTGTGGACACATGTAGCTGGTGTTTTAGGGAGGATTTGAATGCAAGTCTTCTTGACTCCAAAGCTAATGCTTTTTTCCCCCACTATCATATCACCTGTCTTGGTAAACTGAAAATTTTGATAAAATGGAAATCCTAAAGGCAGAAAATAATCTGCCACCAGTTCTGTACGAAACTTTTAAGGTGAACAGGAAAGAGGCCTTGCATTTGTGGGAGAAGGGATAAACAGAAATAAGATTAATCAAAATGTGGAGAAGTGGTATGGTATGCTGATTAGAAGGCTGACCTTGGAATCAGGAGGACCGAGGTTCAAGTTTTTCATCTGAAATATACTAGCTGTGTGACTACAAATGAGTCACGTAACTTCTCATTGCTGTAGGTAACTCCCTAAATTTGTAAGTAATAGACCAGTTGATTATCTGCTATGATGGAGAGTTTTTGACCAATGAAAATGAAGGCCTGGACCAAAAAAAAAAATTCTAAAAATTAAAGTGTGAAATTACATTTTAAAACAGGCGCCTGTTCCTTTTCTATCCCCTACTGTGAGTGAGCATTGTTATCAAATCAAGAGTACCACTGCAACCAGAAAAGGACTTGTCATTTGGCTGCCCGATGAATCAATTCAGCATCCTCAGACACCATTCTCCTATATGGGCAATCTCTCTTTATTATAAAAGGTCCTTGAGGGAAGATAATGTCTCACTTTCATATCTGTATTCCCAGGGTTTAGCTTAGTGCTTGGCACATATTAAATGCTTAATAAATACTTCTTCATTCATTCATGACAATTTTCTCTTAAGTCATATGATGTATCTAGAGGTTACAACCATTTAAGCATTCAAATTCTCTCTTGTTTAAAAAAAAGTCTTTGTGCATTCATTCTTTCTTTTTAATTAGCTATAGTGAAGGAACTTCTTTTCAAAGTAATTAGCTTAGGACGAGGCTCTCTTTCATTCCTTTTAGGATTTGACACTGTTACCTTCATTTGCCCTACCAAACGTGAGTATATGTTATAAATGCCTAAAGCAGGGCATGGCCGGAAGACTCAGTATTTGTAATATTATCATTTCTACCAGGGGAACTGGGGAAGGATACTTGATTTCAGATCTGGAAGTTAGACTACATTCAAATTCACCTTTAAACAGTCCCTGTGGAACAGATTTTAAAGCAAGCACTCAAAATTTATCACAAATATCAAAAAAAAAGGATTTCAAAAGCTATATTACATAAGTATGTGCAAAGAACATCTTTCCTGTTTTACATTAACTAACACAATTTGTTCTCTTCTTATACAGACATACCTCTGAGATATTGTG